TTTGGTGGGCCCGGGCTGGATTCAAACCCGCCACCTTAGGTGTATGTGGCTGGCACCTTAGCCGGTTGAGCCACAGGCGCCGAGCCTAGATTCACACTTTTATATTAGCAGTCTATCTAGCTCCTACAACTATAAAAACAGTGAAAATGAAACAGAATTGTATGGAACCTTTTCTCTATAAGAATTTGACAAAAGGTCATTTCCCCTAATAATTTGTAAAGTTCACTTTTGAACATATGGCATGTTTCCCTCAAATCATTAAATAAATATACTTGGCTTTTGCAAATATGTTTGTGGGTCATGGGAATCTACCTTTCACTGATTCATCCAGATGGTCTTTCAGATCATCTCTTTACCCCATGTCCAACACACAACCAGCCTTTACTATATCAAAAATATATATTCCTTGATTTGGCGCCCATAGCTCAGTGGTTAAGGCACCAGCCATATACAACAAGGCTGGCGGGTTCAAACCTGGCCTGGGCCAGCTAAACAACAATGACAACTGCACCAAAAAAATAGCTGGGCATTGTGGTGGGCACCTATAGTCCCAGCTACCTGGGAGGCTGAGGCAAGAGAATCGCTCAAGCCCAAGAGTTAGAAGTTGCTGTGAGTTGTGACGCTATGGCACTCTATCAAGGGCAACATAGTGAGACTCCCTCCAAAAAAGTAGAGTCTATTTAACAAGGAAGCCCAGCTCTAGAAAATTATTGAATTCACATGAACTGCATGAGAATGCTTGCTAATTCCCCAATAATATATGCATGATAAAATGGTACATTTCAAAACTATTAACAAAAGAGTATGATTGTGATGGATGTGTTAATCAGTTCAATGTAAGCATTTCACATTGTATATCAAATCAGTACACTGAACCCCACAAATGCATCCATGTACACAGTTATGATTTAATAAAAGACAAATAGAAAAAGATATAGTTCCCTAACTGAAACAGTAGCCAGACACACGATCATGACAAAATGAGATTGAAAATGTGATTCTTGTAGGACTCACTTATTTTTGGCCAAGCAGCTTTCAGGAGAGGAGATGCTGTGGGAACTACTTCTGATGGGTTCATCAAAATCCAACATTATTTCCCATGCAGAGCTCCCAATAAAGAAAGTCATGCTAGGCTGCCCAGGTTCTGTGTGGTCTGAGGAATCTCAAGACATGGCATGATTCCCTGTTAGTAGAAATTCAACTGCCAGACAGCTAAGCCCCAATTTAGTACATCTTTGCACCCAGGGAAGGTGAAATTGTGTTATTCCCATCTGTTATGTTATTCCCATCTGTTCATTTTTGATCCCTTTGTTATTGTTTTTTGAGACTGCGTCTCACTATGTCACCCTCGGTAGAGTGCCATGGCATCACAGCTCACAGCAATCTCAAACTCTTGGGCTTAAGCGATTCTCTTACCTCAGCCTCCCAAGTAGCTGGGACTACAGGTGCCTGCCACAGCACCTGGCTATTTTTTATTGCAGTTGTCATTGTTTTAGGAGGTCCAGGCTGGGTTCGAACCTGCCAAATTCGGTGTATGTGGCTGGTGCCGTAACCACTGTGCTACAAGCACGGAGCCTCTTGATCTCTCTGGTTTCAGCTTAGACCCTATTAAAATATTAATCCTTTAGGGAGGGGTAACATTGAGCTATAATTAGATACATATGCTTGAGTATAAGGGAAAGACACAAGAACATGTGTGATAGGGCTACGGGAGCGGACAAGGAGCCAGAGTTTAGCAACATACTTGGCTTTTTTCATGGTGGAACCTTTTGGAATAGCTGACAGTTCTGTAGCTGACTTGATCCCTTCTTTTCTCTTTGAACAGGGCCACCCTGGACAGCCAGGTCCCAGAGGACCACCTGGCCTGGATGGCTGTAATGGAACTCAAGGAGATGTTGGATTTCCAGGTCCTGATGGCTATCCTGGGATTCTTGGACCACCCGTATGTTGCCAAATCTTTGCACTTTATTTAAATGGCTTTGCTTGCCTCCAAGTGTGCCCTTTTTCTTCTTCTCTAGAAACCTCATTAAGCTTCTATGGCAGTCACTGTGGCCCATTGTCTAATGCAGAGTCTATGCTGGCAGCACCATAACAGTAAGAGCCTGAAAAAGAATACCAGTTGCAGAGGAGTGTACACATGCTGTACTACTTAGTGTTGCTTTTTTTAAACTCTGCTTTTTCAAGTTGGCAAGATTGTTAAAAGGCTGTAGTAAATTTCAGAGCAAAATACACACTTGTGCTATTTGACATGTTCCCACATCAGATGGTAATGGGAAATGCTTGGAAGACTTACATGGGATCATGGAAGCACTGACAAGAACCCAAAGGGCTTGACAAGCTTGGTCTATACCAGTGGTTCTTAACCAGGGGTGATTTTGCTTCTCAGAAGACACTAGGCAGTTATTACTGATATATATTTTTTTGAGACAGAGTCTCACTACGTCTCCTTCTGCAGAATGCTGTGGCATCACAGCTCACAGCAACCTCAAACTCTTGGGCTTAAGCGATTCTCTTGCCTAAGCCATCCAAGTAGCTGGGACTACAGGCACCCATGACAATGCCCAGCTATTTTTTTGGTTGTAGCTGTGATTGTTTTATGGCAGGCCTGGGCTGGATTCGAACCCATCAACTTTGGTGTATGTGGCTGGCACCCTAGCCGCTGAGCTACAAGCACTGAGCCAATTATTGATATTTTTGAGTGTCACAACTGGTGATATGCTACTGGCACAGGACAGTGCCCCCCCCCCAACATCAAGGAGTTATTTGGCCCGAAGTGTCAGTAGTGCTGAGGTTGAAAAGCCCTACTCTGCACTGACAATTCTCCACACACACACATTATAATCTTTGGTTAAGGGATTGGTAAGGTGTTTATTGGATCACAGTATCATCCCTTTTATTTAATTCCATTTATGTAGATAGGGGTCATATGTTTAGATCAAAAGACTCTTGAGTAAATGCCCTGCACTTGCAAGCTGGATTTTAGAAGTGACTGGAAAAGAGAAAAATAACACATTTTTTTAAATTGTTTGGGATTCATTGAGGGTACAAGAAACCAGGTTATACTGATTGCATTTGTTAGGTAAAGTCCCTCTTACAATTGTGTCTTGGCACACACCAAGACCCCAACCCCTCCTCCTCCCGTCTCTCTGCTCTTCCTTTCCCCTACCCCTCCCTCCTTCTTTCTCTGCTCTCTTCTTCCCCCACCCCCACCATGTCATTAATTGTCATTAATTGTCCTCATATCAAAATTGACTACATAGGATTCATGCTTCTCCATTCTTGGGATGCTTTACTAAGAATACTGTGTTCCACTTCCATCCAGGTTAATACAAAGGCTGTAAAGTCTCCGTTTAATAACTGAATAGTATTTCATGATGTACATATACCACAGCTTGTTAATCCATTCCTGGGTTGGTGGGTACTTAGGCTGGTTCCACATTTTGGCAATTGTAAATTGAGCTGCAATAAACACTCTAGTGCAAGTGTCCTTGTGATAAAAGGATTTTTTTCCTTCTGAGTAGATGCCCAGTAATAGGATTGCAGGATCAAGTGGGAGGTCTAGCTTGAGTACTTTAAGGGTTCTCCATACTTCCTTCCAAAAAGGTTGTATTAGTGTGATGTATGCGTTCCTAATTCTATATGAAATCAGCACATTGTACCCCATAAATGCATTTATGTACACATGATCTGCGTGTTTACAATTTAATTAAAAAATAAAAAATAAAAAGCTTTTGCACAGCTGAGAGTACCACAAACAAAGCAAACAGACAGCCTTCAAAATAGGAGCAGATTTTTGCATGTTATGAATCTGATAAAGGCCTGATAAGTAGAATCTACAAAGAACTCAAATTAAACAATAAGAAAAGTGCAAACAACCCTCTATAAGCAGGCAAGAGATTTGAACAGAAACATCTCTGAGGATGTCAGATGAATGGCCAATGAACACATGAAAAAATGCTCATTGTCTTTAACTATCAGAGAAATGCAAATCAAAACTATTCTTAAGCTATCACCTAACCCCAGCAAGATTAGCCCACGTTACAAAGTCACAAAACACCAGATGCTAGATTGGATGTGGAGAGAAGGGAACACTTCTACACTGCTGGTGGGATTGCAAACTAATACAGCCTTTTTGGAGAGAAGTACGGAGAATCCTCAAAGATCTAAAAGTAGACCTTCCTCCATGACTTAGCAACTATGAATTGGGCTGCAATAAACATTCTGGTACAAATGTCTTTGTTATAATATGATTTTTGGTCTTCTGGACATATACCTAGTAGAGGAACTGTAGAATCGAATGGCATATCTATTTTTAGATCCCTAAGTGTTCTCCAAACATCTTTACAAAAGGAACATATTAGTTTGCATTCCCACCAGCAGTGTAGAAGTGTTCCGAAGGGCCCACCGACCCACGAATGGATTAATAAATTGTGGTATAATTACATCATGGAATATTATGCAGCCTTAAAGAAAGACAGAGACTTTACATCTTCCGTGTTTACATGGATGGAACTGGATCATATTCTTCTTGGCCAAGTATCTCAAGAATAGAAGAAAAAGTATCCAATGTGCTCAGCCCTACTATGAAACCAATTTATAGCTATAATCCAAAAAATAAAAATTTTTAAAAAAGAAAGCTATAATCCAATTATAGCCCAAGACTATGGGGAGAGGGAGGGGAGGGGAGGGGGAGGGAGGGTGGAGGGAGGGTAATTGGTGGGACCACACCTACGGTGCATCTTACAACGGTACATGTGAAATTTACTAAATGTAAACTAAGAGGGTGCCATGAAGGCTATGTTAACCAGTTTGATGAAAATATTTCAGATTATATATAAAACCAGCACATTATACCCCATGATTGCATTAATGTACACAGTTATGATTTAATAAAAAATAAAAGTATACCTTCCATTTGACCCTGCAATCCCATTACTAGGTATCTACCAAGAGGAACAAAAATCATTTTACCACAAAGACATTTTTGCTGGAATGTTTACTGTGGCTCAATTCATAATTGTCAAGTCGTGGAAGCAACCTAAGTGCCCATCAACCCATGAATGGATCAACAAACTGTGATATATGTATACCATGGAATATTATTCAGTCATTAAAAAAGATGGAGACTTTACATCTTTTACATTTACCTGGATAGAGTTGAAATACATTCTTCTTAGTAAAGTATTGCAAGAATGGAAAAATAAATATCCAGTGTACTTCATACTAATATGAAATCAATATATAAACAATTACATGTTCCTAAGAACAATAAAACACTAATATGTTCCAGTTCGGGGGTAGAAGGAAGTGGGGGGGGAAGGGGGAACGTTTAGCAGAAGGAGGGAGAGCAGGAGGCGAGATCTCACCTAATGTGCACACTGTGAGAGTATATAACACACCTCCTGGGTGAGGGGCTCTTCTACAAATGGAACTTTACCCATGAAAGTGAGAACAATGTAACCTAAAAATTGTACTCACATATAAACTTGAATAAAGCTTTTTAAAAAGTCTACTATAAAATATCTAAAAGAGAGTACTTGAAATGTTCTCAACACATAGAATATAGAAATAGTAAGTGCTCTAGGTGATGGAAACTCTAAATACTATTACTTGATCATTACACATTGTATACCTGTTACAAAATATCACATGTGCCCTATACATATGTACAAATTATTATTTATCAATGAAAAAGGAAAATAAGAATCTTCAATTAAAAATACCTGACAATTAAAGTCTTTGCCTTAAAAAAAAAAAGGTTGTACTCGTTTGCATTCCCCCCAGCAGTGTTAAAGTGTTCCCTTCTCTCCACATCCATGCCAGCATCTGCAGTTTTGAGATTTTGTGATGTGGGCCGTTCTCACTGGGGTTAGATGGTATCTCAGGGTGGTTTTGATTTGCATTTCTCTAATAATTAGGGATGATGAGCATTTTTTCATATGTTTG